AGAGAGAGAGAGAGAAAGGGGGGGGGATCAATTTCTCATTAAATTTTTTTTTTAATTCACTCTTGCAATGTAAGTTAATCGTCAGAAATCAAAATACGGCGTCGGTGAACTACATGTACAAACACTACGAAACACACAAACTCTTTACAGAATGGCGTACCTACACACATTTATTCAGATCAATTAACAATACCAACAATGACACGAAATTGTACGTCAAGAACTGCTCACAGGAGAGACGCATTAATTAAACTATCTATAGGTTGGTCCACGACTTGCATTTAACAACTGAAAGAGTACAGCGAAGTTTTCTGCTCCCTCGCAATATCTATCATAAATTAAATGAGTTGTTAAGCAAGCCCATTTCGCTCAAAATTAGTTGACCTATGTCCGAATCATTTTGCCCAATCTCGCGGGATTACCAAAGGGTTTTTAAATACACTGTCCTCGTGGTTTTATGCACCCCGCATAATTTGTCAAAATTTGATCAATTTTTGCATAATTTCTGATTATTTTCCTTTATCATTCTTTGTTGAAATTAACAAAATCGCATTATTTCTCATTTTGGGCTCAATTTGCATAATTTCAAATTTTTTCTGGCATAAAACGACGGGGACAGAAAACAATATCAAAGAGCTGCAACTGAGTAGATCAATCGCTGGCCTGCGCAGACGTTTGAGACCAACAAGATTTTTACATAGTAGCCTAAGGACAGTCTGTACCTCACAGTCTTATTATAATAGCAGCACAGCGGATTAAAATTTTCTCTGAGGTGAACACAATGGTTTAAAAAAAAGAACTGTATTAAACAACAATTACACCTCAACAACTAATCAGAAAAAGAACACTTGGGATTTTGTCTTTGTTAAAAGACTTCTGGGCTTAGGTAACATTAGAAGATGTATGATTGGGTTCTTAAAAATGACATGACGGAGGCATGCACTGAAACACTCAGCAATTTTGCAAAATATCACCACAACATAAATTTTTCAAGAATACAGCCTCAACGCACAAACACACGAACAATTTTAACGCTTTTCTCGTTTCAATGCTAATATTGTCTGTTTATATTATTTTTAAAAATCCCCCCCCCCCCTTATTTTTTATTTTATTATTTTATTTATTTATTTATTTTTTGGCTTTCCTCTATCTCTTACTGTTATCGGTTTGTTTCAAAAGAAAGAAAATATGAGTTTAAAACTGAAAATCATCCCAATCTTGACGTTAACAGTATGGCTATTTACTTGTACTTTTACTTTTACTTTCAGTCATTACAACAACAACAAATTAACCAACAAAAACCTATATTATACTATAGTTTGAGGTGAATGAGAAAAATGGGACCTTTACAAAAGAATACAAGTACTGCTCCTAGTGTATCTGAAAAGGAGGACAAATAGTGTAGAGTCGATTACCTTTACGCATATGAAACATTCGTCATGATTTTCGTGTGACACAAGCAAGCATTTATATACATTTTTAATTGTCCATTTGAAAAACAAAACAGTAATTTGTCACATATAACTTTTGACAAAATTCACCAGAACAGTGCGGTCCAAATGCTGACCTTAAACATTTTCAATGGTCATCAACAAACAATGTTTTCCCTTTATCTTTGTTAATTAACTTATTCTAAATTTTAGCTGATCTTTTGAGTTTTGTCATAGATATAAGCACGAAAGACATTGCCAAGTTTACTTTGGTGACTGAATATTGTTATGAAATAGAAAGAAAGACTTTTCTGTAAGAACGCGTAATTGTTTACGCCGCTAGTAAGACAGAAAAAACACCCATCGTTACAGGAAAAGTGCCTTTAGATATTACCCTGCAATTTCGACAGAAATATTGCCTACCTGGAAAGACCAATTTTGATGGAGATTATTGTAGTAAATTTGTAAGCCCGAAGTCCAACTTTAAATTCCCGAAACTTCGTTTTATTTCTTAAATGGACGACCTATAGAAATGATAATTGACGGATATTCTATATCAAAATTTATATTAGAATAGAACTAAAGAGAGCGAAAAGACAGCAAGAAAAGTTACAAGCAACGGTAGAATATTTACAGCTAGATCTAGTGAACTTTGCTGAACATGATAGTATAGCACAGAATGATCTGACGCCCTTTTTGACACTAAAAAGTTACGAGTCAGGGCCTTCAGTTTAACTTCCTTCTCCGACAGTATGGACATACTTGAGTGAAGGGCCATTAAAACTCTTCAAACTCAACAAATAGCTCAAGTTCAAGAACACATGGGTAAGGATTAAACTAGGGCAACTTACCTCGTAGCCCAGAATGACACTTTAAGTTAAAAGAGAGATAACCGGGCGTTCCTTTGGCCTGTAACATTTGTAACAGCTAGCAGAACACCATGTCATTATTTCATAATATCCTTGGTATTGTTTCAAGCCTTACCGAAGCAAAAAAATGTACTCGGTTTTCTTAACCTGTCCCTGTGAAGGCTTTTGCGATGAATAGTCTGTTTTTATTGTATTGTAATTACTTATTTCTTACTATATTTGCCAGAGGGAACAAAATGAATGACTTTTCTGAAAGGCAGAACTACAACCATCTTTCATACCTATATAATGAGGGAAACGTAGATATAACTTAAAGTTTGTTAAATGACAACATTGACTTGAATAGGGAGTAAACAATGTTCAGTATTGCTGTTCTCATGTACAAAGGTTCGCATTCAATTGAGAATGCATTATGAGGTCTCTCCAAAGTGGTGTGGTCGATTCATGTAATACTGCCGTCCAAGTGCGTTTTTCTCTGGTTGGGGACGTCTCTGTTTTCTACTAGACTGTGCGCATTCAAAGAACACGATATTCTAAAGTAAGCGAAAGTCAGTCTTAATTCTTTTTGAAAGCTGTTGTTTAGAAGGAATGTAAACAATCATTTGTTCTCTCTGAATGTGTTACATTTTATTTTTCCCTTTTTTTAAAAACGAGAGAAAAAACATCTCAATTACAGTACTTGGAGTAGACTCAAAGTTTAGAGAACAAAGAGAACAAGAAAAGCCTTTGAAGATTTAAAAAAACAACCTTTTACAACTAGAAGCAAAATAATATGCTATCAGAGAGATTCTTCGAAGCAAAGCAGAAGAATCAAATTAATAGTAACCGAAGCATAATACAAGTGTTACATTCTGGGAGATTTTTTTAAAGTCGAAAAGAACAGGTGGAGGATGAGAAAGAGAGAGAGAGAGAGAGAGAGAGAGAGAGGGGGGGGGGGGGGGTGCGTGTGTGTGTGTGTAAGTGTGTGTATAAGTGAGTGTGTGTGTGTGTGTGTGTGTGTGTGTGTGTGTGTGTGTGTGTGTAGGAGATAAGAACATATTAGAAAATGTCCAATTAGTTATACATGATCAAAATGTCGTCCTTCCCTTCAGGATGAATAGACGAAAACGCTCAAGTAAACACAAAGAGCTATGGCACTAATATCATGATGAAAAAGACAACCAAAAAAAAAAAATCCCCCCTCCCCATAATTTTTTATTTTTTTCGGGGGGGGTGGGGGGGGGGGGGTGGGGGGGGGGATTTTTTTTTTTTAACTTTTTTTCGGGGGAGAAACAGAGCAAACCGAAAAAAGTCTCTTTCTATAACTCCCAAAACCCAGTTCTTGTCGTTTAAAAGGATTCCTAACTTGAGGAAAGAGGGGGGGGGGGGGGGGGTGGTAGCAGGAAAAAATAATTTGTGTGCTGCTGGTGGCAGTCAGGAAAAATTAGAAGCTTACAATATAAAAAGAGATAATGATTAAGCTTTAAAATGTTAACATTCTTCTTTCCATGAGAAGATGATCAATCAACAATTACTCTTTAAAAAAACGGGGTGGGGGGGGGGGGAACGAAAAAGAAAACAAGGAAGTTAATAACAATGAAGGATTGTCGTACATTTGAAGAAAACGTCAATGGAAGAGAAAGAAAACATGCACAAATAAGTCACTAGCGATGGAATATCATTTCCAAAGAGAAAGTAACATATTACATGTCCTTCATTAATGTTAGGTGATCTCCCTCTTTTTCGATGGAAAATGCAGCAGAAGAAAAATGAAGCTAAAGCGTTTGAATCAGTAATAAATGAGAAACATCTTGTCTTGGCTCGTAGTCAAGCTTTGATGGCCTCCTGATGTTCTTGGGCCTTGAGACGTAGAGCCACAAGGCTCCCAACACGGGCGTCCCTGGTGTAGACAGCGTCTGGGAGCTGGAACTGGTTGTCATGGAGATTTGTCTTCATGCTCCCGCTGTCTCCTTGTGTTTGACCTGGGAATACGCACGAGGGATCAGTCGTTAGGGGGAGAAAAAAAATAAAAGAAAAATAAAATTTTAATGACGCCTTATCGTCAATGCATTTGGCTTTCCGCGTATGGAGCATTCAGATACTGTCGAGAAAATGTGAAAAAACAACCGTTTTTATTAGTCTAACACGCGTTTGGGCCTCTTGGTTTTTGTATAATTTAGGCCTATATTTACGTTCTCACGTACCATTGATGCAAACTAAAATGTGAGAGCTGATTTGTAAGATCGTGCTCAAGTCTAAAAACCCGGATAGCCAACTACAATGACGATATGGTACGCTGAGTTACAACGGCGGGAGCAATGCATAGATCTACATGAATCAATGTACACAGCTTACATAAATTTTTAAAAAACTCTCAGAGAGTACCTACAGACTGTACAAACTCGCTCTTGCAGAGCCCTGGATTGTTTTGTTTTGTTTCTTTTTTTTAGTTTAGTTTTGTTTTATTGTTTTCAAACGCTGGGTTTAGCGCGACTTGACCAAGAACACACTCCAGTGACCACACATCTTAATAGACTGTCGCTGACATTTCTTAGAATTATTCGTGAAACTCCTAGCTCTCTAACCACTCGACCACTGGAATGTCTTGCGAGCACACACATCCCTTGCGAGTTACAGTGGAGTTTTTGAACATTTTTAATCACCTCATCCAAAACCTCATAGTTTTCAATTTTGACACACAAAAAACTGTTATATGGTATGAACATTTTCCAACAAAGAAATAGCAGACACACTTTTTACACACTTTTACTTGGAGAAGTATTTTCAAAAATGTGTTATGTTCCATAAGAATTCAATGTTTGGTTGTTATGGTTGCCGTCGTTGCTTCTTTTGCACTTTCTTTCTCAGAGACCTAAACTTCACGTTGACATGTTAAACCCAAGTTATAGTCATCTGTGACAAAAGCTCGTCAGTCGTGAGATCGATAACTATGTAATATTAAGGTTTGATAAAGTGTGAAACCGACGAGGTTATCGTTTGTTTGTTTGTTGTTGTTGGGTTGGGGGGGGGGGGTTATGGGGGATGGGGGGTTGGGGGTGGGAGGGGTGTTGTTGTAACGTTTATGCTCTTGTATAGGAGCAACTAAGCTTCTTTGCAAATGATGCATGTTCCAACCTGCGCTTATAATAATGTAAATATCGCTTTGCAATCGTGTGAACACTGAATGTTCAGCCCATGAAAGTAAATGCAAGTCAGACAAAAAGCAATGAAATTCGTGTATAGCCAAAGTTATCAACAAAAAAGGTATACATGCCTTTTGTACAGAAAGAATGGTACATACTGAAGTAACGAAATCTTTACATTAGTAAATTCTTACTCATGTCCTCATAAGAACCGAAATTGTTAGCGTGTCAATGTTTTCTATTCTTTGTTCACTTTAAATTATATGGGCACAGTCCACGCTTACCACTGCAACGGCCTCCAAATGAATTCTCATCCATAGAACCCTGATAGCGCTGTCCATTCTTGCTGGCCAGGAAAGATGTCAGGGAAGAAGAACTCATCGAGGGATTCATCTGGGAAGTCCAGTCCACGTTCAGATTGCCGTGGAAATAAAACCCGGGAACGGGAACACTGCCGAATGACGTCATTTTGCAAGCAGGCGAGGACATTGGGGGTGGTGGTTGGGGAGGTGGCTTGTTTTGGGATGCCTTCAGAGCTTTAAGAAAAAAGTAAAAGTTGTCATGATATCTGAATTGCTGAACATGGGCATATGAAAATCTTCAAAAAGAATGAATATAACATACTTATCAATTGTGCTTGTATTTGCTTCATGATTAAAAGTATAATATTAATTTTTATGTTGCGTCTCTACTGTAAAGGACACTACTTCCTCGAAGTTGCAATAGGGATTATGAACCAGTTTATTCAGAGATGACATAGCCCTTTTAATCAGTGTCTTTCTGATGGGCAATCGTCTTTTAGGTAATATTATTATTGCCAAAAGAGTAAGAGCATTATACTCGTGTTCTAGGCACTTTAGTATCGGATCACGCCAGCTGATCCAAATGAAACTCTTATAGAGCATTTGACTTAGTCAAAACTGAAGCGCCCCAAAACCAGGCTTAATTCACTGCCTCTGTATCCTCCTTGGGTATAATCTTTCGAAATAAGGTTTTCATTAATAATTATGAATAACAAGTGTCGGAAAGAAACCTTCCAAATCACCCCCATCCATCCCCAAAAAGCTCTAATAAATAACGTTTGGATCTTGTATTTGATTACCGCTGATGTGTGATTTCAACAAAATCGTGATGACTCTTAGCGCTTTACGGAATATCTCTTTGAACATTTCCCACTGGCTTTTTAAGCGTCTGATTTCTCACCATGACAACCCGTGTCAGTCACCAGACGAGACTTCTGTTCTTCCTTCTGCTGCTTCCGCCATTTTGCCCGTCTGTTCTGGAACCACACCTGAAACAGAAACGTTAGAACCGCGCACGAATGTGGTCCACACACGTGCTTTTACACACGTGATGAGCCGACAAGTGTGTCATACTTGTCAGTCAGCCAGCAGTTTGTTCTTTGTACCTTGTGTTCTTTTTGTGCCAGACAAGCAATTTTGAGAAAGCGATGGTCTTTTTCAAATTTAAGACGCTGGCCCCTGTCTCCCTCTCTATGTCAGAAATTGAAAACTGTGCAAGCGTCTTATAACACAACGTTTATTATTTTTCAAAAAGAAGACAACGTGAGGGCATACCGAAAAGTAAATC